GATACAAATGGGGAAGTATTTAGGAGAAAGAGGGAAGCTTGGAAATAAAGGGTTCAAATAGACACCGGAGAGACAGAAGGAGAATAGGAAGACTTTTCTGGCTCTTGGTGACTCAGAGGGCAGCGGGAACAAAAAAGGCTTTGGTTTAATGCCAAAGATATTAGTGGATGATTTGTAATGAGATGTAAATGTAGGCAAAGGAAACCCGTGAGGGCAGCGGGCAACCTTTGGTTTGTAGAAACCAGGAGTGATTTATCCACAAACGAGCTAAGAGAAGCTCATTTTGGTCCAGCTCTGGCTCCAATTCCAAGACTGAAACACTTTGTGTCTAGAAAACAATTTTTACGTTTGACAGCTTAAGGTTTACATCTAAGTGATGTAGAAGATTCTGACCAAAGTAGCACGTCCTCTGCTGAACTACATTCCAAATCATGCACCAATGTTCTACATAAAACATTGGATGAATTCAATCTCAAGGAAATAACCCTCAGAATCAAGCCATCAAGGGTTCATGCTCAGTGCTGCCCCAGATAAGATTTTCTTGACAAAGGATTTGGACAAATATCCAAGATGAAATATCCCGGACAAGCCCCCAACCCGATAGTTATGGTCTAGCTTGTTGGGCTACAACAAAAGCAGAGACACTTGTAAAATATTAAAGGTTAATAATCAACCAAAAATCCCCCAAATTAACTTGCAAAGGTAAAAACAATGAAGTGTGAACTGAACACAAATGTGGCAACACACCTGAAGCGAGATTACACAAAGGTTAGACCAGGGGTACAAATACAAGTCTCAAAGCGTCACATAAAAAGTTTCAATGAGTCAAATGTCCATTTATTATCATTTGTCAATCAACGTGCTTAAATAAAATTTGCTTGAACACAACAAGCATTAAAAACAACAAGAAGCACACAATGTCATTTCCATTTAGTAATCAATTCAAATTAATACTTAAATAAGGAAATCTGCTAAAAACCTTGGACCAGGAACGACATCTCAGACTGGGCTACGAACAGGACCAGAGGATCTCCCAGCACAGAGGCACCGTCAATGAAAACATCAAGAAGGAGATGAAGAATCTGAAGAGAACAAACGGTGACTCAAGTGAGGTGCTGGATGAAGTTAAGACCAACCAGAAGCTAGTAGAGAAAAAAAAATCTTGAAGAGCAAAACAATTTCAAACATCAGCTAAAAGAAAATAAGCTGATCTGTGGAAATCTGGAAAAAAAGTCTTAAAGAAAAGCAGCTCCGTCTGGTCCCCAAAGAGGAGCTGAAAAAAAACTAAAGATCAGATTAGCGTGGTGAGCGAAAACCTGAAGAAACAAGTAAATGATCTGAAAAAGGAAAACCTGGAGCTCATCGAGAAGCTGAATAATGTCAGGACTGGAGACAAAAAGGCAGAGGAGATGTCTGAGGAGCTGGAAAGCCCTAGACAGCAGCTCCAACAGGATTCTTCAATCTGTGAAGAACTTTGGAACAGTCTGAGCAGAGAAAAGCAGCTGAGACTTCAAAGTGAAGCTGAACGGCTGAACACAGAGTCAAACTCTGTGAGAATTCTCTGCTGAAGCAGGAAGTCAGCGGGCACAGAAACTCTGAATTTCAGCTACTTGCTGATAGACCAGCAGAACTTTCAAAAAGTCAAAGCCGAATTGGACTGGAGGTTTGCTGAGGAGCCGCAGAGCTCCCAGCAGCATCTGGAACACAAAACTTCACTTTGTGAAAAACTGAAAGGAAATTTCTCCAACAGACTCACCCTCAGGCTTGAAATTCACGAGAGGCTGAATTTAAAACCGGGTCCCCGTGATAAAAGCAGTCTGAGCTCGACGGGGTTCATAGTCTCTTGACCGAGTTAGAAAATATGGAGAAGAGCAAGTCAAACGAGTCTTCGGAAAACTGTAGGTCCCTGGAAGACATTCTACAAATCATCAGCAAGAAAGAGGACAAAATCTCCAAATGGAGATTCTTCAAGAAATGTATAACTCTGAGTCATCTCCGTAAACACAAAGTAGGACATCTGATAAGTAAGGCCCCTCCCCCACAAGAGAAAACTAAACTGACTGATTATTACACCTGTGTTAGCAGATTAGCACCGGATTCATGATATATCTATTTTTTATATCAGATTAGGATTAAAATCCTTCTCTTTAAAATCTGTTCTCGACTTGGTTCCCTTATATCTGTGTGACCTGATCACCCCCTACAGACCTAAAGTCAGCAGACCCTCCTGTCACTACCTAAAGCGTGCTCCAAGGCCAACGGTGAACGTGCGTTTAGTTTTGCGGCCCGTGACACGGTCCCCTTCCATTGGTCACCGTTGGTGCTTCAGTCGTGTCTTTTAGTGACGTGTCTGATCACAGTGTATGTGTGTGACTCGACTAGGGATGGGTACTGAATTCGGTACTTTTTCAGGTACCGACCGAATTCCATAGTACCGACCGAGCACCGATTTGCGTCATTTCAAACGGTGCCTCGTTTCGGTACCCGTCCATCATAGCGAGAACTTGCCAGGACAGCTGCGCATGCACAAGAGCGTTATGTTGTCGCTCGCTGCGAACCAGTTGTAAACAGAGCAGCATGGTAGAAAGAGCGCAGGCTAAAGCTTGGGTCCACTTCACTAAATGTGATGGGTAACTGGGTGATGATGAAACCAGCAACAACGATCTAAGTGAGACATCCTCATCTTAATCTGCTCCGGTAGGTAAATATAATTAGCTTGATATGTTAGCTTCTGTTTCGCTAATATGGTGCGTTCGCTTTCTCCTCGGAACTCCGAATCCCCGACTAGAAGAACATGAACGCGCTCTAAAGTTTGGCTTCACTTTACTAAATGTGACGGGTGAAGACGAAACCAGTGACAACGATCTAAGTGTGAGGCATCATCGTTTTAATCTGCTCCAGCAGCTAAATAAACTGTTTAAGATAATGTTAGCTTGGTATGTTAGCTTCCATTGCTACCAATGTTATCAGCTAATGGTGCGTTCACTTTCTCCTCGGAAATTCTAACTTCCCAGTAGGAAAAATCAAATGAAAAAAGATGGCAAAAGGAATGAAGATACACAGTAAATTTAGTTCACAGTAAAGATGTTTGCTTTAGTTTAATTATCAGCTTATAAAACTACAAGGACGATGTTAAAATATAAACAGTTGAATGTTATTTATCGTGATATTTATCAAATATTGTTATATATTGAGAAAAATATATATTTAATTATAAATGAGAATTAAAATAATAAACACTCAAAAGTATCGAAAATTGGTACCGTTAAGTACCGGTATCGATTCGTAGGTACCGGGAATTAGTACCGGATCGATTCAAATGTCAAAGGTACCCATCCCTAGACTCGACTCATCGACCCCCACCCCCTTCCACCTTATGAAACAACTGGGCATCATGGTGGTACAGTGATTACCGCTGTTGCCTTGCAACAAGGTTGCAGGTTGAAATCCCAGCTTCAGCCTTGCTGTGCTCTCCCCATGCATGTGTGGGTTTACTCCCAGTGATCGGGTTCCCCCCACTGGCCAAAAATCATCTTTAGGTCAATTGGTGACTGAAACCTGTCCCTTTTGTTGGTGAACAAAAGTCTAGTGAACTAGACCAAATTCCTGCTTTGCAAAGTTTGGTCCAGGAATGCTCCCTTGGAACCGCCGCAGCCCCTAGCAGCTTTCGGGCTAGCCAATCACAGCTCTCTATCAGGGTTTCAAACCAATAGAGCGCTTTGATTGGTCCACATCAGTGGGCCAATTAAGCCTCTTTTCCATCGCCAGGTCTGGAACGGTCCGGTCTGGTTATCTTTAGACCGGTATGTTCCGGTATGTGTCTTGGATTTTCAGACGATTGTTTCGATTGCAGTTTGGGCATCACGTTGGCAGGCGGGGTTAAAAAAAACATCAAGCACATGTCTGTGTTGCAATAACTGGTCTGCAGAGCTAAAGACCAAAACAAAATGCTTACCACAGCCTCCACATGTGACTCCAGAGTGCAGTCGCCAAGTCCAGAAGCCTGCCTCAGCTATAAATGGCAACTCCGTGTATTTCTCCCATCTGGAAAAAAAAAATCCACTCCGGCTGTTTCTGTCCTTATCTATTAGCCATATTGGGCTTTTATTTCTTCATCTTGGCTCGACAATGAGCTGACGTCCACTCTGATCCTTAGGCTGCCATCCGCTGAGAAAAAAACTACCGATCCATCTAGCTCCTCCTGCGGACTCTCGTGATGAAAGTGAGAGACGTATGGAACTCTGAAGGTGAACACTTGCTGCTACTTGCTGCAAGTTTTTCACGTTTATGTTCAGCTAACGAAAACTCAAACAACGGAACTCCGTTAGTTCTCCTGTTTGCAAGAAGTGACGTATTTCTGTCAACCAATCAGTGGGCTGTGTTGTTGCTCCACCCTAACGTACCATTCCAGGAATTTCTGGACCTACAACAGAAGGGAGCCCAGAAAGTCCTGCGACTGGCACGGTCCGGGTCGGTTGTCTGGACCGGTTTTACAATCGAAACAGAAAAATTAGCAACCTGATCCTACCCATTCCATGCCAGTTTGGGTGGTGGAAAAGACCTATTACAGTGGTTTTGAGGGCCAATCAGGGCCCCCTATAAGTCCGGTGGGCGGGACGATGCGACGGCTTGTTTGAAATGACTTTTACATCAATTTTGAACTATTTGGACCTAAGCTTTATTAAAATCAGGAGTAAATAGATGTATTAAGGTCCTTTATTTAGAAAACAAATGTATTTTTGTAATTAATTAATTCATTTTGATACACAATAAATGATACAAATAGCAGTATGGTCTAATCACTTGACTATGTTAACTCCAAACACCGTGAACCTACGTGTTTGGAGGATTTTTTTGTTGCTTTGGTTGTTTAAAATGCTGCTTTAGCACTTTTACTCTGATCAAGCTTGTTTCATAAATGCTTCATAAAAGACGAATCAGGAGTTGTTCAGCTTAGGTTTCTTGTTGTTTGCTAACTTGATCTTAATCTCTGGTTTCAGTTTGTGGCTCAGCCGAACTGTCAGCAGCTGCTGGCCACTCTGTGGTATGACGGCTTCCCGGGCTGGAGGAGGAGACACTGGGCCGTCAAACTGGTCACCTGCTTCATCATCGGACTGTTGTTTCCCGCCTTCTCATTGGTGAGAAACACGCCTGAAACCAAGCCTTTTCATTTGGACTAATGGCGACATTAACACGCAGCAATGGGCCCATTTGTGTATTTCTGTGTGACAGATTAATTAGATCAGATAGAAACCATTCACACATTTAACTCTGTTACATCTGCAACAATAAATCATACACGCATGAGGAGACACCCGTCTGGTCTCAGCTGAGTTTGTTTCACTCTCGGTTTAATGCTGATGAGTAATTAATGCAGTAATCTGTCAGTGTGTGTGTGTGTGTGTGTGATTGCATATCAGTGTTTTGATAATTGCTGTAAACACACCTCTGTTTCCAGATGCTCTTTGTTTCTGACTGTCTCTGTATCATGAACGCCTCTCAGGCGAAGGAGGGAGGCGAAGCCGAGGTAGATGAGCCGGGCAAAAAACATGAATCAGAACAACAGGAGCTCCAACATACACAGAGTTTTACTGAAATACAACATAAGAATATCTGATATGAACAGCGGAAATGTCTCTTTCTGCCTCATAAACTACAGTTTATATATGGATGAATCAGAACATCACAGATGGAGCTTATAGGAGGAGAAAAGTCGGAAAGGCTAAGAACTTACCCGTTATTATTATTCATTTATTTATTATTGTCATTTACTGCTTTTACGTTGCTTAAAACATCCTTCATTCAAGCTTTTACCCTATTCTGTTCTGTAGTTTAGTCGGACAGACGGTCGCTCTATGGGCCACGCCATACCAGAGCAAAGATGTGAGATGCTTCTCCTGTTGCACTTTACTGCAGTTGCTGCAACTCAATGGACACGAAGAGACAAAATGAGACTAACAATAATTTTCAGTTTACAGTGCTATTTTTATATTGAGGTTTATTTCAAATTAACGTGTAAAGACTGTCAAAACGAAATTATTATCAGCGGTTCCTAGAAATAAGGGACTGCAGAGGATCAGGGCTGAAAAGGATCATCTGAGAGCTTATTTGTATTTGGTGTGATTTAAAAGAAGAAACACTTCTAGCATTTACAGATGAGTCCACTCTCATAAACATGAACAAATGAATAATGCATAAAAATTTGAATTAAAAAACACATTTTTTGACAAACTTCTGAAACAAAAGAAGTAAAAAATTAGTTTTTTTATTTAAAAATTTAATTAAAAAAATTAAATGTTGTAATTTAAAGTCCATATAATAATTTAAAAAAAGATCTAAGCTGAAGAGGATAAAATATTATAGTGCAAGAAGCCGTGGTCCACAGATGTGTACGTAGAGAAGGTTAAAGGAGCAAAGAACAGACCATGCATACATGAAGTGGCTTTGCTTGATCTTAAGTAATACTGAAGGAGTTGATGTGACCTGTCTGTATGAGGATGCCTAGTGAATGACTCTCAGCTACTTCTACACCACTACTTTTACTCAGTTACATTAAAACCAACTGAGCCAATCATGCATTTGCTAATGATTAGCTGTGGAAGCCATCTTGAATTCACTAGATGTTCATCCATTGATGATTTTTTTATGTCGTCAGTTTAATTTTATATTTTAAACAATATTGGTGCCTTGTTTGTTATTTACCTTTCACAGGATTCCAGACAGATACCCGTTATTGCCCTCTCCTTAGTGAGTGGGGCTTCTGTGTTTACAGACATTACATTTGCTCCCAGTTAGATTTTGCTTTTTTCTGTAACTAGTTTTCTCCTAAAGAAGAGACACACTTTTGCAGATGACAAAGTGCACATTCTGGACAGAGAAGATAGTGCCATGAAGTGGGGTTGTTGCAATTGGACCCAAATGCAGGTGAGCAGGAACAGGAGGCGACTGGCAGGCAAAGGAAAATGTTTAATGGTGGGACGGTATAACAGAGACAAGACAAGAAAAAAACAGCATTTAAATACGTAATCAGAAATCCGGTGGTTTGGATAACAGTGGACGGGTGAGTCCAATAAACACTCAACAAGGGGAGACAGGCGCAGTCAACATGTCAAAGGGGGAAGGAGCAGATCCTGACAGATAGATGCTTTGAGAGAGGAGTAAAGGAAGCTATCTATGACTACGTTTACATGCAGCCAATATCCGGGTTATGATCGGGTTAAGGTCGGTATTTGGGTTTCTGAGTTGATCAGAAGAACCCGTTTACAAGCACAAATAGAAAGAGTTACCCCTAACTTGCATAACCCGATTTAAATGCGGACGTTGGGTAGAGTCAGGACGTATGGACTATCAGCCTCTGGTCATATGCTGCAAGTAAAGCAACTTCTCTGCAGAAACGGGTCGTCATTTCCGGTTCTTCTTGTTCTGGTATCCGTGAAAACAACAACATGTTTCCCAGTTCGGAAGAGATAGCGACCGCGTTTGTTTGCGCTTTAGTGCTGGTATTGACCCACCGATGAAGACAGGTTTCCTCGTCACTCCAAAAGTGTGGTGCTGTGCCGCGACTCGCCATGTTGCTCCCAACTTGTTGTTTACTTCCGGTGTTCTGGCACATACAAGACGTCTCGCTACTCAAAAGACCAAGATTCCTTGCGAACAGAGCATGTGCAGAACACACGCTTTGATGGGGATATCCCGATATGCGTTTACACGACCAAACATTCGGGTTAGAAAAGGGTTACCCCAGGTGTAGTAACCGGGTTTTTAAAAAACCGGTTATGAGCATATCCGGGTTTTGGTAGTGTTTACATGGCCGTGCGGAACCGGGTTATTGTGAATATTCGGGTTTTAAAAGGGTTACTGGCTGCATGTAAACGCACTGTGTGTCAAATGGGGAAAACCTACATTAAATAGAGCGGGAGGTCTCAGGTTTCATCTTTCCAGCACCTATAATGCAGCTCTGAACTATTCCAAAACAGTTTCCATCTAGGTCACACCTTAATCCTTACCTAACACAATAGGACCTAACGACATCAATGACTCCTCAGTGGATAGGGAAGAGGGACATTCATACGTAGTGTCAGCTTTTTGAGCAACAACAGACAGCTACAGTTTATAAGCTTGACCCTCCCATTTTCAAGAAACCTAAGAAGTCCAGTTGCTTTTATGGGAACCCCGTTGGATCACCATGACCTGGCAGACTGAGCATCATTTCTGGTTTCCTCAGCTTCTTTGATTTGCTCTGCCACTCCCACTTAGTCCTCAGTCTGTTAGCATCTCTCCCAGTTTGTCTACCGCTCAGTTTCTCAGTCTCATTATCTAGGATTTTCTGTTGTATCTGCTGTGTCTGTCCCATTATTGCAGTTACACATCACTGTAAACCCGAATGCTCAAAATAAATAATTGGAATAAGTGGTGTAAACTTAAAAAGTTCTCAAAAGTTATCTTTACTTAAAAATATTGAGTGAAAGTAACATTTTCCTTCTTTTTAAGTTTATTAAACTTGTTATGATTGATTAATATGAACTTGGTTGCATATTATGTAATGCTACTTAAAATAATCAACTCTCACTTACTTAAAACTCTGTGGATTAAACATGAATCTTTGTCTTATTTTATTTTTATTTTTTGGAACTATTTATTTTTGAATTAGAACAACAACATTTACATGGAGATGCATTTGAGTTTCTTCTTCCCTTCTCCAGAGCAGTGTTTCCCTGAACAAAGTTCGAATTTCCTTGTGTTCATAAGATCTATCCAACTTAATCAAATCACCAATCAGTAGATACAAGTGCAACAATAAAATAAGTAGTAGAAGAAGAAAAGGAAGGCATGTTTGAAAAAATCCCCGGTTGGTTTATGTGTCGCACATTTTTTCTCCATAAAATCTTCAACACTTCTGGTATTTCTTGTCTTTATTATTGCAGGTGAGCTAAATCAGCACAATCAGCCACAATATAAAGGGTGTTTAATATTATTGCTGGCTTAAAGGCACATTTTGGTCAGTTTGAAGTGACATCACTCAAAGCCAGCCGTGTCTCTAGAAACAGGAAGTAATCCTCTGGCTGGAGAAATACTTGTGACTTCCTAGATCAGTCACAAGCTAAACTGCAAAAAATGATTTCTAAGAAAGTGAAGAAAAAACATTTTTAGGCTTTTTACCAAAATAAATTAAAAATTATATTATTTTGATATTTTTTAGAATTTTATCCAAGCATTTTTTGACTACCCCATTGGCAGATTTGTTTTACCCGAATCAAGAAAATTTGAATCACATTTAGGAAAATGTACCTTATTTTAAAGACATTGGCCCAACTCGGCATGAAAATTGTGAAAACTCAGTGTAACTACACTTCATCACATTTACAAACATACAAACATAAACTGGGTTCAGTTTTTCATTTTGTTTGAGGAATTTTGTCATAAATCCTTGTAGAAAGTCAAAATTCTCTCTACACAATGAAGAACTGTGTTTCACTTACGGTGGTTACGGAAAGTATTCAGACCCCTGTCAATTTTTCACCCTTTGTTATATCGCAGCCATTTGTTAAAATCAATTAAAATACTTTTTTCCTCATTAATGTACACACAACACTCCATATTGACAGAAAAACAGAATTTTAGACATTTTTGCACCAATTTTTGGTTCTGAAAACAAACAGAATTATCCCGTGTCCAAGTCGGCTTGTGGATCTTTTGAGTCAAACGGTCTAAAACAAGTCTGAGCCTCCAGCAGAGCTATCCAGCTAGCGGTGGTCGGGGTTTGGTTTAACTTCTCAGACTGTTGGGTTAAAGCTGGGTAAATGGAGGTCTAATTGGTCCACCACCACCACTGAGAACTACATCTCCCAGAATGCACCAACAAAAAGGCAACTGATTGCTGATAATTAAAAAAAACACCTATGCAGGATGGTGGCTTTCTTCAGTCAAACAGGAACAGCACAGCAAGCTCTACTCATGAACTTTACTCTAAAGACGCCAATGGTTGGTGAATATTTCTGGTTTATGTTGGTGAAGTGTTTAAGTTGTACCTGGAGAGTTTTCTGTTTGTGTCAGAGTTATCAACCTGATGAAATCATGCACTGATCAACTTGAAACCAACAAATCTGAGTTGAAAATAAAAGTTGATGAAAAGCAGAATCAAGAGTTGTCCCCGAGTGTCCCTTTGGAGTAAAACTAGTGTGGAGCTTAACACAGACGATCCAATATCTGTTCTTGTCGCCGTATCCCAGAGAAGAAAAAAACGATCTGACCAGCTAGCAGAGGTTTCAGAAGCTACATCTGACTGATGACACAATGTCCTCTGCTGTGATGCTAACGCAGAAACACCAGAGAGCCTCTACTGTTTACCCTGCTGTTTGTGGAGTGTTCCCGGCATCAGCTGGATGAAAATCCAAAAACCTTTTTCAGCCAAGGTTTTAATACTGTTTTACAAGAACCATTCAAAGGCATGTAGCCTCTGGTCATATGATGCAAGAAGCAACTTTTCTACAGAAGATTTTTTTTTTCCTTTTAGACTGAAAATAAGATAAAATGTCTAAAGATGAGGCTTTTTAACTTAATTAGAAATCAGTTTTTGCAGTGTAGTGGTTAATTTGGCTTATTTAAAACAACTCCTGCTCAGTGGACTCCCTCATTTACTATTTTACATAACAATTTATTTTATTTTCAAGATTTTGCAAATTATCTTAATACAGAAGTTTCCTTCACTTCGTATTTTCACTCCTTTTTCCTCATTTGTCCTCGTCTTTTTCACTCCTCCTCATTAGATCTACCTGTTGGCTCCAAAGAGCGCTCTGGGTCGCTTCATCAAGAAGCCCTTCATCAAGTTCATCTGCCATACAGCATCATACCTGACCTTCCTCTTCCTCCTGCTGCTGGCCTCTCAGCACATCGCCCGCACCAACCTGCACATGCAAGGACCCCCGCCCACCATTGTGGAGTGGATGATTCTTCCGTGGGTGCTGGGTGAGTTCAGTACTTCTCTTTCCCACCAATGGCGTCCGCTTTGCAATCTTTCATTTATGGCGTGGATTTTGAGGTTGTTACAGACAAGTAATAATAATAGTGACAAAGTGAATTGTCCAAGAAAATAACAAAGGTAGACTCCATTTTACTTGGAAATGTTAGAAATTAGGAAGAAAGCTTTTAAAATAAGTTTAACTTTGAGAGGTTTCAGAACTGTGTTGTATTTTTTCCCCCAAAATTTTGCAATAAATGCACCAAAACACAAAGAAACACCACAATTCATTGCTTTAGTGCTGTTCTTTCTCTTGAATGATTTATGTGTTACGTAGAGATCCAACTCATCCGCCAGCTAAATGAGTCAAAAAACAACTTATGTCACTTTTTTCACCTGATTACTGATCATCAAGAGAGTCTTGTCGTCCTGAGTGTGTGGTTGGATGGCGGCGAGTGTGTGGAGGAGGCGGCGGTGCGTATGTGTGAGTGGGTCGGAGTGGGTGGGTGGGTGGGTGTGAAAAATGAATGATCACATCTTCGTCGTCTCTCTCTGAGCCGACACCAATCATTTCCAAATTCTGACCGTGATCATTCTGAGAAATACTAAACCATCTGTTCTCCTCCGTCGTCCGCTTTCTCCTGAATTCTTCGTCTTCAAGCTCAGAACCAGGTTTCAACAAAGAGGAGGGAGTTTTTCTTCATGAGAAGCTTCAGAAAATACAGAGAAAGAGATGGCTCATTTCATCTTTTGTAAAAGATGTTTTTCTTCAGGCCCAATCAAAGGATCTCAGTCAGGCTGGTGTCTAGACTTTCAGGGTTAGGGTAGCCATCCTGTTGTAGAGCTGCTGCTGTGTTTCGTCCTGACCCAGTTTGGTTCAACTCTTCACAAAGTTCACAGGGAACTCGATGTCTCCAAGAAGCCCAAATCATTAGCCCTCCACCACCATGCTTATCATGAGCTGTTTGACCAGACAGGCTGTGTTGGCTTTTCTGTGCATTATGGGTAAACACCTCATCTGTCCAGAGGACGTGGTTCCTCCAGGTCCAACTTTACATACTTACTTTAGTTGCTCTGTTTATTTATTTATTTATTTATTGAGAAAACACATATAATTTCCTACAACCCATACCCGTTCTGTCATATTGTCGTGAACCTTGACCTTTGACCTGCTGACTGAGACCTTTGGTTCTTGGATCTTTGTGGACTCCAGATAGTTTAGAAATGATTTTTGACTGTCTCAGATTGATGGACAGCAGTAGTGATATCTCTGAGATCATGGCTTCCTTTGTGCGTTAACACACGCCTGTATGCTCCAGACCTGCACTCTGACTAAGGCCCTGTCCACACGTAGCCGGGGATCTGCCAAAACCTAGATATTTTTCTACGTTTTGGCCTGTCATCCACACGAAAACGGAGTTTTTTCACACGAAAACGGATCTTTTTAAAAACTCCGGCCAAAGTGAAGATCTGCGTTTTCTCCGTTTTGGGTGTCTGCGTGTGGACGGACAAAACCGGAGTTTTAAGGTCCGCAACGTCACTTTCCGCGACAAAAAAATGCTGACATCACGTGTAGGACCTGTGTTTACACTAGCCGGCATCATGGATGCCCTCAGAGCTGCGCTCTGTCACTCCCCGATCCATCAATTGTCCAAGCGCTTTCTGCTTGTTTGTTTTTGCAAGCGGAATTACTGCTCCTTGCGGAAGACCACAGACGAAGGATGAGGTTAAGAACGGGGGAAGTACTGCCACCTACAGGTCTGGCATGTCCTTAACAACGTATTCATCCGGGTACGTGTGGACAGAGTTTGTTTTTTAAACGCGGTGGTGTGGATGCAAGTTTTTGGAGGGGCGGATATTCGTTTTAAAAAAACCCCGGCTACGTGTGGACTAGGCCTAAAATCCTGAAAGTCCCGATGAGCTGACCTCTTTGGAATGATTTCTTTGTAAAACCAGAATGCTCCTGTGCAAATGTGCAGATTGTTTTGCACATCACAGAACGTTTCCTCGTAGAACACCGGGCCTTTTTTCAGTCAGACAGGATTTCCATTTCCTAAGTTTGGGTCCCTAAGTCGGCATGCCTCAGGGACAGACGGTTCTGCACAAACTCACCAGAAGGGTCGGTGTCATACTTCTGGTCTAAGCCAAGCTAACCAAGGCCACGCGTCTTAAGGCTTCCCTGAAACCTGTTTCCTCCAGGGAGAAAAATGTTCCCTGAATTATTGATGGTAAAACTTGACTGGATTTAAAGTCAGTCACACAGAACAGAAACACTCTGCTTACAGCTCTGTGGCCAGCAAAAGGTCTGCCACGGCATGAAAACGACACATTCATGCGTCCTCGCTATTAACCAGGAGTGTGTGTGTGTGTGTGTGCATGCGTGTGTTTTTCAGGCTTCATCTGGGCAGAGATCAAAGAGATGTGGGACGGGGGCTTCACAGAGTACATCCATGACTGGTGGAACCTGATGGACTTTGCCATGAACTCTCTCTACTTGGCCACTATCTCTCTGAAAATCGTGGCCTACGTCAAGGTAAAGACCTCCCGTCTGCCTCGGTGAAAGTTCAAAAAACATCATCAATGTTTAAGGAGCTGGCAGGGTAATAAAGCTGAGCGATGCTGTGTGTCACGCTGTGTGTAATCATGTCTTGATGGAACAACAAGCAGCTGGCAAACACAAATGTCTGCAATTGTTTGTTTGTTCGGTGAAGAGACACGAGGATGAAGTGTTTCGCCATTAGCAACAATACTGAGATATTGGTTTATTTGTGGGTTCTGTAAATGATTTCCCCAATCCCAGCGAGTGTTTGTTGATGTGCAAACACAACATTGCAGCTGCAGTGACAAAAAAGGGCGAAAAATCTGAATAATCAGACAAGAGTAGAATCAGCCCTGTGGAGAAAGCTTACGGGTGGTTTTCTGTCCTAAATTCTTCATTTTTGATATGCTGACCAGCCCTTTCCTTTACAATACTACAGCCTATCAGAGGAAGATTTCATCTGTTGGAAGACGAATGAAGCCACCATTAAGCCTGATGGTCATTTAGCATGCAAGCTATGACGTCAACATTGCTCCTATTAAACATTTATTTTCATGTTAGATGGATGCTGGTTAGTGTGCAAATGACAGGGCTGACGTCTTGCTACATTTTTAATTCACCAGTCAGCTACAGCGTTCAAATGGGGGGAGGGGGGTGAATTAGTAACACCAATCAGCTCGTTACAATGCTGCAGGGCAGCTCTGGCTCCTGGAAGCTACGTGATTGTTGCTTCATCGTGCATCTAGGTTAGTTTGCTTCATTTGATAAATGTTCTGAGTTACTAAAACCACTGCAATTCTGCAAAATAAAATAAATAATATTACCTAAATAATAATTCCTAGCTGTGCAAGTTTGAGACATGAGAACATTTTATGTTTTGAGGGCTTGTAACGTAAGAAATTGAATATTAAAGGTGCGGTTCACTCACTTACCTTTGCAGTGGTCTCTAGTGGGACTGAATGCCCTGTAAGAGGTACGGGGGTTGCTCAGATGCACTTGTTTCAGGTAGGGATGCAACGATACCACTTTTTTCCAAACCAATACGATACCGATACTTGGATCTGAGTATTCGCCGATACCGATTATCAATACCGATACTTCTACCATACAAAAAAAGGCAATGATTTGGAATACAGATTTTACTTTCTTCTCTGCTTTCAACAGGAAAAGACTGTGAGGTAGATAAAAAGTAAAATACATGAATGGAAATCATAACAAAACTAAAATATTAGGTGAACAGAAATGACAAGTTACAGTGAAGCCACTTTCAAGCAACTGTATTGGTATCGGTTCCTGGTATCTGTTAACTTTTACCGATACCGATACCAGTATCGTATCGGTGCATCCCTTGTTTCAGGAACTAGCAGAATACCACATTAGGGGTGAGTTTCGGACCACAGGATTTGAAGTTTTATTTCCTTACATTTGCACATCTCCCCTCTGATTGGCCAACAGGAACACATCACCACTGACTGTTTACTTTGCAACACTGATGTGTTATCTTCACAATTAACACAAATCCGAAGTTCTTCCAGGTGGCGGAGTTGTTAATGCTAATAGTTAGCTTCTAATAGCCAAAACGTTCTCTGCTGTTTCCTGGAAGCTAAACCAACAACAGCCGTCCTCGTCATGGGTCAAGATGAGTGAGTCCATGAATGATAAGTGACAGTAGCTTCTTTTATAAAACAATCGTCAATTGACTGTAAAAATAAAATGTTTTGTCTCAAAATGTGTGTGATGTCTAATGTTTGTCTCAGAGAAAAGTGGGCACTGTCATACATTCAGTGTGTAATTCATTGTGTTCCCTTTCGACAGTTGTGTTTTCAGTTTTGCTCTTCAGTGTTCTTTCCATGCTTGGTAGTGTTCACCCAAAGGCTACTTGTGCTTAAGCAATGATTGGTATGTGTGTGTCATGTGAAAATGTGGCTGTGTTTACCAAATGAAAACACACGTTCCATTTTGGGAACATGTTACGATATGTGATGGCAGGGTTTTGTTGCAAAGGGAAGCCACGGTTTAGGGATTTGTGTTTTATGTTTGGGGTTTTGTGTGTGCAGTTTTGAAAGAAACGTACAGTTTTGAAAAATGTGTTTTAGCAATCGAAAAAAACTGTAACAAAAGTGTAACGTACGGCCGGTTTTTACTTTCATTTTCAACATAGCTTCCTGCCGGAGCTCAGCAGTAACTCCACACGGGATCATGCCATTACCCTCTGTTGCACCAGGATGTAATACGTATTCACAAGTCTGGCATTGTGGCAGTTTTACCAAGCATGGCATTTCATAAGACACACTGTGGTGGCAGTATCACATGGTGTGTCTTCTAAAAATAGCTACGTAGATCTGTCAGGCATTTCTAATCCTAGAGTTTCACCATGTATTTTCTATCAGAAGCTAATGCAGGAGATAGGTGTAGGAGACTATTTTCATCTTCAGCCTGCATGAAGTGACAGACTATAATAAGAAATAAGATTTAAAAACTTGTTTCTTAAGCCTGGTTTATGCTTCTCCGTCAGCTCCGCAAGGGACAGACACGCACGGATTGATGAAAGTGTTTTGCTCTTTTACTTCTCCGTCTCCTGGAGAGTGTTGCAAAGCAATCCCTCGGCAGGACCACAGAGGGCGTAGCGCTGTTCTGTGGTATCCTGTCATGTATTGGTCCAAGATAGAAAAAAAAGAAGAAAGAAAAAAGTATCGGTCCAAGATAGTGTGTTTATATTGTGTTTTTTGTGTATATAAGAGACTTTTAACACGGTCATATTTGTCTCTCATTCTCCCACCGCTTCATGCGCTCACCACATCTAAACCCACGTTTCCTGTCATTTCCGTCCACAAATAAAACGCTTGCTGCGCATCTTTTCACTCCTCCAGTCACGGGAGGATGAAACGTTCATATTTTTAGAGTTTTTTCGCGAGGTGATTCTTCTCTGGTTTACTGGAAATTTGGGAAGACGGGAGCGATTGGAGTGCGACCCGCACCTACGGAATGTGCCACCCGGGCGGTGACCTCACAGACTGGGACGTTACTCGAGGTGAACCGTAAGCTGGACAATGTCCTCGCGGCGTTGCCTGTGTTAGTGCGCAAGATGGATGTCATCTCGGAGAGGGTCGCCGGACGGTGTGGGGATGTTTAGAACGCATAAATTGGCTTCACTGGTGGACATGAGTGACCTCTTAATAGACTCCAAGGCGGAGAGGAAAATTATCTCTGTCTGCCCTAAACAAAGTCTTGCTTATCCTTATCTGACGCCAAGCAGCCTCCAAGGCTGCCTTCAACTCACCCCCACGAAAGGAGGAATGCTGACAGATGCTGTGTCCCGACCTTCCCCCTGCCTTCAGATTGTGACTTCGGCTTTGAGGTCATTGACCTGCAGGAACTCAATGCGCCCTCTGTTTCTCATTTCTCCCTCCTACCTGTCGACTGCAGCTGGTGAAGTGCCGTAATGGCAGCTCCCGTTGGAGGATTCAGGATCCCGTCCAACCCCGCCTCACCATCGGACTCTGATGTTGTATCTGTGATGTTCGTGCTTCTATGTTGAGGAGTTTTTTATTTTTTTTTTTGTATAATAGAGTTACTCCCCGCTGGGTCTAACTCTGCTATGCCTTTTTTTTTTACCTTACCCCAATTATCCTCATGTAACACCCTTTTCATCTAATGAAATGAGCACCGTTATGGCTGCTCTCGTGACTGCCTGTACCTGTATTTGTCTACATGTGTGTGTGTTTAACCTTGGTCAGGATGTGTTCGCGGAGTCAAGTTCCTATGCTCTGGGTCGCTGGAGCGCTGGCAATAAAGCTGATTCTGATTCAAGCGGCTCCGTGTCTGCCGCTAGTTAAACTCGGCTCTCTTTGCAATGACGGCGCTGTAAACAACAGCGGCGTCCTGACCAATCACAAGCTTGCGTAATCCGTTTCGTTCGACGGATGTTTAAAAAAGTGGTCTCGACTCCGTACGTACTTGCGTGCCTGCTGGATCCCTACGCAAGGACGGATAATGGCGTTGCGTGTCTCCGCACTGACGCAGACGGAGAAGCATAAATCAGGCTTTAGTGTTCAGCAGTTCAAATCGGGCCAGACATGAAAATTAAACAGGGGAGTAATGAAAATCATCTGACAATTTGAAGATTAAAGACAGGTTTAGATTTTCTGTTGCTTAACTTGTCAAATAATAGATTTTACTTGTGACACAAACTTGGCAGAGATAAAAATAACACAAACTGGTGAAATCACGAGGGATTTTGTACTTCTTCTGTGATTTCATGATGTTGCTGGACTAGCTGGAACACGTCGGCAGCCTTGAACATCTGAAATGCTCTCATAAGACACGCCAAAGAAGTTGTGGTGAAAATGTGTCTCTTGCATAAGTCAGAGTTAGCTGGATAGGTAGCTACTAGCTTAAACAAAAAGTGAAACTCTCACAGCTTTTCATGTGGCCATTTTGGATTAGCTGTTAGCTTAGCCTATGCATGAGAATGCCTCCTCGATTCTCCAAGCAAAGGTCAGTCTGACTGTCATCTATGGCAGGTAAGATACCAACGCCCCATGTGGACTCCACACAACCCAACTTCAAAAAACTAACTACTGCTTTAGATTAAAACATGATGCAATGATACACACATTTTCACACAAACACCAGACGGCGGGGCCATCTGTGACAGCTGTGAGTCACTGATGGCGGCGGGTGGCCCTCCTACACAGACCTGCACACTCACTTGCGATAGACTTACAAGCATACAAATAGAGATGCAATGCACACAACTGTAAACGTACATACCTGCACTGACATGTCTGCACAAAGGAGCAGCAGCTGGCACAGTGTGCTGCTCTCATGTATCTTTCATCTTTCCTTCAAACTTCAAATATTCATCAGCCTTGAAGTCCTCCGGAGAGCTCATGGGATTTTGCTCTGTCGTTGTGTGTGTGTGCGTGTGTGTGTGTGTGTGTGTGTGTGCGTGCGTGCGTGCGTGCGTGTGTGTGTGTGTGTGCGCATCTGAGAGAAGGTGCAAGGGACCATAAATGAATGAGTGTGCATCTGTGTTCCCGTCTTCTGTTTCCGGCTGTCCCCCTGTGTGTGTTTGACTGTGAATGTAAATAGAAGAAGAGTTAATAAAACTGGAGTCCTGTGGAAGTTTAATGGCTGAATTTAGAACGAAGCCACGCATGAAAAAGCAAAGAAGTGTTGAGGGAGATGGCAAAAGCAGGAGGAAAGGAAATAAATGAAACAGAAGCAGAAATCCTGGAGAAAATGTTTGCATGTTAGAATTCAGAGCTTGCGAGGAGATTAGCACGGAGGACGTGGAAGCATGTTGGTCCTTCAGTCTGATGTAGGAGGTTAGAATGAGAAAAACTAAACATGCGTTGCTAAACATTTAATTACAAAGGATTAGCAAAGAGCTTATGAGGCTTTGTGGTTCCTACAAACTTGTAAACCTCACAAATCTCTATTGTCTGATGTTAAATTCACCCATCTGTTCATTAGCTTAGCCTAAACATTAGCTAGCTACTTTAGCTCTCCTTCCATTAACATTCAATTCAAATTCAATTCAAAAATACTTTATTAATCCCAGAGAGAAACTGATTGCTGTAGCTCAGAATAATAATAATAATCAAGTCATCAAAGAGTTATTGTATATTACAATGGCTGTTGGCAGGATCTCCAGTAGCGGTCAGTGTTGCAGCGAAAGTGAAGAAGCCTCTGACTGAAGACACTCTTCCGTTGTCGGACAGTCTTGTGAAGAGAATGCTCAGGGTTGTCCATAATCGTCTTGATTCTCTGGAGAATCCTCCTTTGCATTATCTCCTCCAGTGGTTCCACAGTCGTCCCCAGAACAGAACCAGCCTTTTTTATTAGGCTGTTGAGCCTTTTTAGCCTTGTCTGGTTTACGACTAAAGAAAGAGTGGTTTTTTTTATATTAAGTAAGGATTTTTGTGAATAGTTTAAGCAAAATGATGCAAATTGTTCTACATATATTTAGTTTTAGGGACAATTAAAGCAAAAATTACCCAAAAACATGATAAAAAAACAGGAAGTGCTCTCCAATCAATGAAATTACCAAACTATCAATCAGATTGTTGTAAAAATATATCAAGTAATTAAATCACCAACTTTTGGACTGAGACATGGAATCTTTAGGCATTATCAGAAATGCGTTCCAAAAAATGATAAATGGTCACTTTTTTGGTGGGATGACCTCTCTATAAAACATAACTGATTTCATTGTTATTTTTAAAAGATTGTTTTTGTTCCATGAAGCGCAAAATGTGTTCAAACACACACACACACACACACACACACACAACACACACAACACAGGACTTTATTCCATTTTTTTTCCAGATGATCCAGGCTTTCTATGGTACCAGTTCTTGGTCCAGAGCTCAGAGACGCTCCAACAACTGTCTGCATCAAACACTAACTTAATTTTTTATTAAGGGCGTAAAAACTGAAGCATTTGCTGAAGTATAAAGTCGTATTAGAGATTGTTTATACAGTAGAAGTTCATTACACATCCTGATGAGTCGCCCCCTGCTGGTCATTAGATGAATTTCTGTTCGGGATCCCACATTTGTTTTGTAGTTTCATATTTTATTGTTTTAAAAGACTTGAAAAAATAAACTAAAGCTCTCTAATTGTCCTACTTCTACCATTTCCCCACTGAAGTTGTGGAGAAACTAAAGCCTTCTGTATTTACTTAAATCTGTTTTATGTTGCTTTTTCATGTGTTTCGTCATTCTTTCCTCCCTCCCTGTCTAGTATAACTCCTCTCGTCCGAGGGAGGAGTGGGAGATGTGGCACCCGACGCTGATCGCCGAGGCGCTGTTCGCCATCGCCAACATCTTCAGCTCGCTCAGACTCATCTCCCTCTTCACAGCCAACTCCCACCTTGGCCCTCTGCAGATCTCACTGGGGCGGATGCTGCTGGACATCCTCAAGTTCCTCTTCATCTACTGCCTGGTTAGACTTTAGCACCACTCCTCCAACCAGACGTAAATCTTAACTGATATTTTCCACATGAGGCTCGATGTTGAGGTCTTTTGTGAAGAAACATATCTGAAGGGATGAAAGACGAGTACATCCTGTGCCCTGGACTGGCAGCAGAAGGACATATGTAATTTGGTTTATCTCATTAATGTTTTCTCAAGGAAACTTCTAAGACAATCCACACGTGGGTTGTTTTGGTCCCTGCGCTCCCAAGTGTTGCTTTTGTTCTCCGTTAGCTGCCTTTTAAAAATAAGCCCAGAGCAGAGTGAGGTCACAGCCTTTTGTTTTCTAAGACATTTTATTAGTGCATGTGTGTGCATGCACCTAGCCTGGGAAATGAGTAAAAAAAGTTTAAGTGTGTGTGTGTGTGTGTGTGTGTGTGTGTGTGTGTGTGTGTGTGTGTGTGTGTGTGTGTGTGTGTGTGTGTGTGTTCGTGTGCAGGTCCTGCTAGCGTTTGCTAACGGGTTAAACCAGCTGTATTTCTACTATGAGACGAAGGCCTCAGAGGAACCCAACAACTGCAAGGGCATCCGCTGTGAAAAGCAGAACAACGCCTTCTCCACGTGAGTAAACCTCGATTCATGCCATTGACGTGTTTAAGAAATGGAGTCGACGATGTTTAAAATAAAGAGCCCCGGAGAACCAAGATGGCGGCGGACGAGAGAAACGCATGGCTGAAGCTCCCATTTCTCTTAAAAGTATTTTGTAGCTCAAAATTTTCAAGAGACTTGATGTCTAACTCCTCGCTTTAGATCTGACGGGGAAGTGACGTCTAGACGGATTTGTAGAACGTCCACAAATACCAAAAAGATCAAATATGCTCGCGTTGCAACCCAGAAAGTAGATGGATCCCAGGAGCAGGTTGTGGCTGCTGAAGTCAGGTCCTCCATCATAGATATGTATATAAACACTAGATGACGCATCCCCGCTGTTCACCAATGGGATGCGACGTAGGAGCGTGGTGGCCATCTTACCTCAGACAGCTGCCCTCTTTCTGCATGTACTATTTAAGTAACTCTAACTTGCTCAATTGTCAACTGATTTTCAAAAGATTTGATTTGTTATAAACGCCAGAAATGTGTCTATGAAATAGGATGGGTTTGACCCATAAATTTCTGTTATTTCACTCCACAAAGCATTTAATCGTTCACAAATAACACATTTAATTGTAAGCTACAGTAACAAAGTATACATAGCCTATTACTGTATTATATAGATTTATCTATCTATTTATACATGTATTCCTGGTTTGTGAAACAGGATTAGAGATGAGATTTCAAGGTTCTTTTGAGGTTAAGCCCACATAAACAGAACACAGATACAAAATGTGCACCCCAGCAAATAAGACAGCCAGAACCCAAATCACATCTGTCTGCCAGAACCGGCCCACCAGCAATAAAATTTAACCCAGCTAATTATTTTGTATTTTCACAATTTATTTTGTTTTCTTATTTATTTACTTTCTTTTATTAATTATTAGCTCTTTGGAAATGCTTTCTGAAAAAGTTAGGAAATAATCAAAACATAGATTAGGTTAATAAATAAGATGGATTACAGTAATAAATAAGATAGATGGATAATGGTCTGATCTTGTGAAGGAGATTTTCAACATTCATAAAACCAGATAAACAATGTATAGAAGGAGGCAGCAGCAGCAATGGAACAACAGTTTCTAATTATTTTACTGACATAAAAACAATTAACAGACTGAATAATGTACAAGTATAGGTTTTCTCTGCAACAGTTACAGACGACAGGTGATCCCACATTGTCTCGATTTGTCACAGCGGCGATTCGAGCATCCGCAGGCTGCACGAAAGTCAGCCATGTTGACCCTCAAGCTTCACAATTATTAAAGGTGTATTTCAGCAAACATAAGTCCAGAAATGTCCTGTTTTAATATATCTCAGTATAAGTTGTGTGTAACAAACCAAGAGGCTAAACAATCACGGGCAATTTAGCATTTATTTATTTAAAATAAAACGAGCGACTCCCACTGAGGTAACTTTGTTTTGCTAAGCAGTGCACCCACCGTAGCCTCGTCATCTCTAAGCCAAGTTAGACAGCTAATAAATATAGAAACATCCACAAACACAGCCATCTACACAACAATTGGGCTGTCGTAACGTCGTTACTGGTTTTGTAGAACCACATAAAGTATAGATTGTGTTCTCAACCTGAATAACATGCAGATAGCCTAGACGGGACACATGGTTCACAATTAAGCCACTTTCAAAAGCAAAAGGGTTACTTTCAACATGTGCAAGTATGTTGTCTCAAGCCCATGTGTTCTAAGGGTTGTAACAAGGCAAACCGCTTATAAATCCGTTTATATTTCATCGAATTAAGAGTGTTTTTGTTTAAGCTGATCACTCACCTTCCAGCTGCCACCATTGAGAGTAGAGGGGTCTGTTGTCTGAGGTAAGATGGCCGCCGTTTAGCTACACCCTCGGCTCCCGCTTTCTCCATCTAGTGTTTAAATTTATATCTATGTCCTCCAACGCCCAATTCCTGCTCTAATAAGAGGATCTTTTATGATGTCAACGTTTAGGTTTCTCGCATTGCACCACGGGAGTGTGTAGCAAGAAACAACATTTTTTGCCTATAATTCGGTTGTTTCACTCTGCCGTCCACCAGGGTGGATTATTACATCTTCTTGACTTCCCTTCAAGATCATCACATCTTGTATCTTGTAGTGCTGAAATGTCCTTTAGCTCCACAACCATCCTCTCCAGGGAGAAAACCTCGTTGGATCAGGTGGACACTCAGCCCTCCACCTCCCTCACGCTTGTCCTGATCTGCTCCGTGTCCGACTGGAGCTCAGTGGAGGTGGCTGGCAGCTTGGTTCTTAGCACCACTAGCTCACATTTAATAAAGTTCAAGTTTCATCACGTAACCTCTGAGTTTTGCCTCAATCAGTGCTGTGATTATGTGATTATTAGAGCAGGAACTCGGCACTGGCAGGCCTGAAGAATGCGACACTCCAGCAACCGCAACCCGCTTTGGGGATCCATCGACATTTTACCACTCCGTCTAGGAGCCAGTTTGCACGTTGGATCTAAACTGAGGCGCTAAGCGTCGAGTCTCATACAAATTTCGGGTTAAAAGCCACTTATTAAAAAAAAGCATATTGGGAGCTTCAGCCACGCGTTTCACTCTTCCGCTCCCAAACCTGGTGGAGATGGTGCAGGTTGCTTGGGAGAGGACAGTTTGTCAATGAAAAAAATCGTTTATCTGTATACATTTCAATAAATCACTCACCTGTCAAGTAGGTAAGCCTTGCCTATGGTATCGCTTTATTTGGTGTAACCAAGTATCAACTTAGTTTCAAAGTGATTCTTTATTATAATAAAGAACAGGAGAAAATCTCTTAGTTTCCATTTATTAACAAATGTAATGTGCTTTTAATAATTTCTGAATAAGACCTTTTCTCAGACCTTCCTTGCGCTTCATCGCACCCGATAATAACCTGGAAATCCATCTTGGTGTCCAGGTGAAGCTCAGAGTACTAAAGTTTCCAGTTTGCGTACAGAGTCAAGGTCTCTGTTGTGGTCCATACGCCACCTCTGAGACACAAACCAGGAGCAGCTGAGAGACGGAGAGGAGAAGCCAAGCAGAGCAGCTGGTTCTGAATTCAGATGAGGCCCCTGGTTGGTTCTGGGTAATGGCCGTATTGATTTGTGATCGATTCCATTACAGTAAAACGACTGCGAGCAGAGCAGACACAAAAACAACAGGTCAAATAGAAAGTGTGTAGTTGCTGCTTTAATAGTCAGACTCATGCATGCTGTCTTTGTTTCAGATAAACCAGATTTTCATGTTTTAACTGGATGATTTATGTGAGTGCATACATAAATGAGCATAAATATCTGCTACTTTTTTCTACATATGCAAAGGTGCATTTAGTATTTGGAGGCTAATAGTGTCACAGACTGTCATATTTTTATTCCAAGTTTAATTTACAAATTTCAACATTTTAAGTTAAAGATTTGTTTTTGAAAATAGACAATACACCTTTTTATTACCCAGTTTGTAGTGAAGTGCTTTTTGTCACCAGCATGTGGCAGTATATGTGTAGTTGCTAAGAGAGAAAACTTTGAGTATGAATAGAAAAAAACAAGTTGATATTATCACCCAAATTAAGATTTAGATGTTGGGATTTTTTTATATCACTTATTGTAAAATGATTATTTTTTAGTTTAGCCAGAGAGAAATTTTTAGTTATTTGAGTACATAATTTCATTTGGTTTAGGTGGCATCACTAATGTACTCTGAGTTAAAATAAAATAGCCTAAACAAAAATGTTAAATGTTTTGGGTTTTTTTTACAAATCCAGGTGCTTTGAAGCACTAATTAAAGTTTTACTTAAATCTAATGTTAGACTTTAAACATTGGGTTCTCAGCATTTGCTCGTTGTTGACTGGCTGGTTGAGTCTGGCCCTCTGGATAATAAACACCATAGGATCATCCGCATAGCAGTTAATTTTAAATGAGTATGGGGAGATAAGGGAACTGGGCCGAGTACAGAACCCTGTGGCACTCCTGGACAGTTTAACAGGAGAAAATGTATATTTACTTGAACAAAGAGACATGTCCATTAAATATGAATTAGGCCATCACAGTCTGGTGATTTTAATGCAGGTAACAAAATGAAGTCTATTACTTAAGTTTATTGCAGATCAATCTGTTATCTGAATCTATAATTAGAACATTTCACTATTTCCATTCCTTTTAAATAATAGGCTCTAATTATTATATTTTAGTATCATCACTTCATCCATGGGGTTATGTTACATGTTTTTGTTTATGTTTACGTATTTAGCAGACGCTTTTGTCCAAAGTGACTTACAAGTGATAATCGGCATGTTGCCCTTGAGGCTAACAACAACAATACATACAGCTGTCTTTAAGAGTAACTGAGTAATTATTATCTTGAAAACTGTGATGTATAAAATTAATATTAAAATATTCAGTGTAATTTGGTCTGGTTGTGTTTGGCTCTTCAGTAGCAGACACGTCAATGAAACAAGGTTCAGCTGTAGAGGGGTTTTAGTAGGTAAAAAATGAATATATGAGAAGGTCAAACGTTCACTCGTGAGTTTTACACCGCTTAATCTACCCTGAAATCCCCACTGAAGCCCCGAGGTGAAACAAAACTCACTTTTAGTAAAAATTCTTTTGAGACTCATCACCTGTCCATCAGCTCTGATCTGCTGCTGATGGATCAGAAGCGGTGTCAGAGAAATCAGCGTCACGCCTCAGCTAAATGAGCATGCAGAGCACTGAGATGACGCATTATGCAAACAGAGTGATTGCAGCCCCACAGGCAACGCAGTCTGGATCATTATTCATGAGTTTACAATGCCAGGACTATTTCCTCTGTGTGTGTGTGTGTGTGTGTGTGTGTGTGTGTGTGTGCGTGCGTGCGTGCGTGTGTGTGTGTGTGTGTGTGTTTGAGATTTGCATTCTACTTTCTAACTCTGTAGTTCACACACACACTTATCAAGATTTAAGAGTTATTTTCACAGAATCATTTCCCGTTTCAGTCCAGGTGTCTCACCCC